ATACGTTCTTTTTAACTAGTCTTAGTTAGTTCATATATAGAAAACTTATCCTGAATATACTAAGATCTACTAGATCCATTCAAAAAGTTTGATCAAACTATGTATTAAAAGCAACTGATAGACTGGAATACACCATCGTTTTCTAGAGTTTATCATTTAAATCTACGTTCGGAAAATCAATTAGAGTGTGTTTAGTGAAATCATAGATTAATATTGGCAAGATCAAAGTTATTTATTGCAAAAGCATATGTAACAAGATACTGATTGTTCAAGAAAATCGATGATAACTCAAGTAACAATCGTCATTACGCCCGTGGACCACGATCACTTGGAATTTAAACATGCTAATTGTCTGTTACATTGTCCATATCATCATTTTGTTTCTGTTCTGACTCTTAACAAATTTTAGAATATGATTGTACAGCAAAGAAATGTTTTATTCATAGGTATACTGTTTGAAACTAGAAATGTACCTACAATATGATGTAAAGTAAATCTTGTTTTTGATGGGAATATTTGTATCATACCTTATGATGATCATGTTTAAACTGAACTCGTCATGCAAGCAAAGATATCATGTTGATGAATATAATTCAGAAGTTTGATCGAGCGCTTATAAAAGAAGATAAAATTAATGGAATGTTATTTATATCTCAATAACAGAGAAATGTTACAAATTGTAAACTATATTATACTAAGTCAAAACGTACTAACTACTAATTTATAAGCAGTATATCTATTAACATCTAATGTTTGAAATTTGGTCTATTTTTTGGTGTTAATTTAAATTTATATTATAGCATGAATTATCTTTTGATATAATCAAAGATACTACTATCGTGAGAATATCATGGTATATAATGATCTCTTTAGAACTCAATGCTGATATTTATTAGATTTGTCAATAAAAGGAATATCTAATTATTTGTTGGGTTACATGTATATTTACACGGATAAACTGTATTAGAATTCGATCTAATCAATGAACAACACACTATGATAAAGTAGATATTCAGAGTATTAGGAATTCAGGTTATTATCCATGTAGCAATTCACTTATCTCCTATCTGATATTAAAAATGTTTCATAAAAAGTTCTAGAAAGAAATAATAATATACATTAGTAATTTAGTTATAATTATGAATTGCAAGTTTAATTAATTGATATTTTTAACTGTATACACGCATGCATTCAACGGCGAATAATATATATCAATTACTGGCTAGTTCAGCCTATTCAAATTTGGCTGTTGATCAAATAAGTAAATCGTAAGAAAACTCAATATATTAATAAATAGTCTTCGATCTGTATTTAATGTACAATAAATCTTCATATGAAGTCTTCCTTTCTTCCTTAAATTGAGCTGTTATAGTGTTTGTTTCGTTATTACTAAATATGTTTGAACGAATTATATTAACACGAATCACAGATACATGTTTTCACAGTCACGTTCAATTTTCAATTTTCATTCAACAAATTTATGAATATTTTTATTGTAATCAGTTAGTCATTTAAAGAAGTTTACTCAAAGCTGGGTAAACATAAAATCGATATCACACTCATAGAATGATGAATGGTCTTTACCATTTTATAAAATGTCACAATTTTTTCTTTAATTTTTAAAACTGTTTCCATTTGTCTTGTTTTATGTACACCATACAATTTCGTAAAACCACAACGTAACAGAATTGCATTTAAACAAATAAACAAGAAATGAATAGATCAGTGCACCATTTCGTTTCAGCTATATATATATATATATATATATATATATATATATATATATATATATATATAAAGTTGAATCATGCAAAATGATTTTCAACTGTTAAGTTATCAAATGTCAACTATTTGAAAAAAAACCCATTTAATAAAATTACGAGGTAAATTTGAACGAAATTAAACAACAATAACAATTAACCATGGGGTTGTTGTTTTTTCTCTCACTGTAACATACTATGCTAATATGAAATAACTGTTTATAATTCATTTACGACTTTTAATATATTATTAGTATTGCTTACACTATCACTACATAAATAAGGTAGTGGTGAAATGTTTCAGTTGAATCAATTTACAAATGTTATATTATGTTGAATTTAGTCTGAATTCTTAGAATCACATTAAATTAAAATAAAAATTTCCGTTTCAACATTTGTCAATACATAGTTATATTCAACTTTTGATTAAGATTTCGCATTGTCATGCATTCTGTCAAATGTTAGATCAAAATGTTCCGATTCATTTTTTAAATATTAATCACTTATTACCTTTGTATATATTAATTAGCTTTTCTATTTTATCTTGCAATTAATTACATTGCTAATCAGTTGTCAGTATTTGCATAAATCGTAATGAATTTACGTTAGATATCATCGTCAAATACATCACCGCGTGACTGGTATCGATTTTGTTGTTATTTATAAGCACCAATATTCGTGTAGAGTGATGATGCAAAACTAATTGAACTTAAATTAATTATCAATATGTTACATTCATAAATAGTGAGAATAATGCTATCAAATATTCAAGAGATGATGTTTTAAAATGAGTTGCAAGACCAACTCGAGTAATTTTGTTAGGTTTAAATGTAATTGGTGCTAGATTATTCTGTAGGTTATCAAAGTATTATGGTTTTATTACATTCATTTACTTCTGATTGCAAGACTGTTTCATTTTTTGATAAATGAATATCTATTTATCAAATGCAATCTGTTTTCCAATGATAAAGTGTTGACTTCTGAAATTCAATGAAGTGTTTTAGTTGATTTTATCAAGTGACATAGTTTTATTGTTGAAGGACTGATGTAAACTGGAAAACTAGAGAATGTTAGACAGTTGTATCAAAGGAAAAAAGAGGCTCTTTAACAGTTTACTTGACTTTAGTGTTCAACACAAATATCTGGAAAATATTTTAACAAGTCATAACTAATATCTAGTTAACACTAATATCTCGTCTCAGCAAGTTATCAGCAATACAACAAATAGATTTTATTCTTGTAAACACCAAACATTAAATTATTTGGCTGACTAAACATTTCGTGTAAGTTTACATCGGAAATTGTCATTTATCATAAAAGCTTTTGTAAAATAATTTAGTGACGTTACGGTATTCATAGCAGTTGTTTTGCTCTTTGAATAGGTTTCTCCAACTGGTATACCATAAATGAAATCTGCCTAAACGAATTAATTTCCAGTGTTCATCCTCTCGTTAAGTTTCTTTTCCATTTATCTTCTTTTACTGTAAGGTATTTACTTTCTGAAAGTTCATACATGTGGAATATGACTATTCTGAATTATAGATATTGCCAGATTGACACTTCGATCTTACATATAATGTAAATTTAAGCTGCTTCACACCATATATCTACACAATTTTTCTCTACAGATGTTGATTTCAAAACGTAAGAAACTATTAACTTTTTTATACTGCATGCCTTGAGATTTATTCCAATCACTCTATGTCATAACGTGGAACGAATAATTTCATCTAGACCTTTTGTATGCATAAAAACGAATGTTACCCTGATTGGTATCGTTTGGTTCTTACTTGAATTATAGAAGGTCGTAGGTTAAATTTCTTAATGATGGAGACATTTTCGAATTAGGTTGTGGAAAACAGTTGAAATTTTACGGAAGCACACAATCATTTCATTAGTCCAGTCGTTAGCGCTGAAGTTAATTCTACGGCATAATTTAACTACTTACAAGTAGTCTAATTTTCTAGTAAGATATTTTTAAATAAACTGGTGAATTAATAAATAACTGTTGTCTGGTATTCATGAAAAATATTGATAGACAAGTGGTTAATAAGCAGGTAATCAGGTGTGAATACCAACTTTATAGCATTTCAAACATTTCATAGACTGTCTGGAAGAAAAATCTGAAAATCTACTGGTGTAGACTGTGTTGTTGTCTACAATCGGAAGCTACATAGACGCCGAGTTAACTAAAAGTTTCTCAGTCGTTCATAAGAAATCCATCAAGTAATACGATAATAAAGACAAGATTATTTAAAAAATATCGGCAAAAATCATGACTACCCTATGTATACGAGAAGAATGTGATCTTAGTGGCTTTTAACTTTGAGTAGTGGAATGTAATTTAACCTTACTGGTAAATAATATCATACGTAAACATTTCTCTAAAGAATCTGCAATATTTTGTTGTAAACCGTCTTCATACTAAAGATCATTATAGTGTTTTAAGTAGGTTACCAAAATGCCCTGTACATTAGCATGCCAGAATTACAAATGAGCTGAGATTAATTGGCATGCATTAATAGGCATTATAAAACTTATAATTATTGTAGGTTGTGCATGCTGACTGAAAATCAGAATAATGTTTAAATCCTACATATTTTCTATATCTGAAATCACACTCACATTATGGCACATGTATTATGATATTAGTTCATCGCATTAGAAAGAATTCACATACAGTTATTTTATGACATGAATGTTTAGTTATTAATCATGCTGAATAATATCACTGATAAGCCTTGGTTTAAATGAAGGAAGAAACCCTGTGCTTCATAAATCACCGTCATCTAACTGACGTGATATGTACTTACGCATACGTCCACTGGTTTACCACTTCTCTATCTTGTTATATCATAACTTATATGCCTACAGACCATGGCTAAGGGGTTTCGTGAATGAACCCATTTGGCCGTAAGTACTGATTTAATTGTGAAAAGCGTTGACATAGAATAGTTACATTTGTGATTAGTTCGAAAATGATGTTATATACACTTTGTAAAAGTTTACTTTATGTATATTTTTCAATTTTCCACCTTTTCCCCCAGTTAGTCATTATAAAATTTACTTTATATTACTGAATATAATAAATATTACTATTTAAGAATGTAGAAATGAAGTAAAAAGCATTTCCTTTTCAACAGTAAATAATAAAAGTATATATATTTTCCCATTTTCATAACAGCTTCAAATTCCACATAACTTGCACATTTAAACAAACAAGATTGGTGTTGAACGTTGTTACGATCCAGATTTAAAAAGTAAGATTGCCATTTGATTCAAATAGAGGTAGATGAAATTCTTTTCTTCATGTGTAACAGAACTAAAATTAAAATGACAAGAGGAAATGAGAACAAAAATTCGTTGATTGTATTAAATTTACATAGAGTAAAGGAATTGATATTGCCAAAAACAGACATGATGAATTAGTTTATCAGTTAAATAAAAGTTAACAATTTATCAGAACACAATCTAGCACAAGTGTTTGCACTATAGCATTTAATAAATGCATAAACTGATTTTATGAAAATTTTATTTTATAAAAATTTCGACTGCATCAATGCTATCTTGTTTGAATTATTCATCACTCATGGTCAAACCCTTGTACTGTCTTCATTTCCGTTGTCTACACTATCTTTGGAAGTCTATAAAAGTTAGGGTGATTCATTACCTCTTTATGTCAAGTTTTTTTTCCATTCATATGTTGTTCGAGTCACATGCTCAGGTGATTTTATCAAATCCAGTTTGTAAGTAATCATCCGAATAGTGTAAATGCAGTTGGTACATAGAATAGATTAAACGTGATCACACTATCCTTGTATCCTACTTATAATCCTAAAAGAGGTTGCTAAAAACGCTTTATCCACTTAAAGAGACCTGGTTTCTTCGACTCATCATCTCCATGAACTACCATAAACATCTCTTAAAATTTCCTGAGGGGTTTTCCAAAGTTTCACCAGAAAAATCCATGAATTTATTGACGTGATATCTTGGTGTGTATATTCAGATTGATATAAATAAGCACTCAAGGTATGGAAAAGGCACATGATGTTTTAATCAAAGTAGTTATTATTTGCAGTATGTAGATTTTCTACTGCACATCCTCAATAAGCCATGTGATCAATACTTACACAGTTGGTAGCATGGATATTTGTAGTCATGACCGCAGACATAGTGATAGATTAATTAACTAGCATGGAATTTGATAGCTTAGTTTTCCTCTAGAAATAATTTCGTTTTTAGCATTTTAAACAGAAATTTATCAAGAATATAACATCAACAATTTTATCAAATAATAATAATATGCACAGCTGACTGACAGTTGTGTATATTTACGCATTTTTATTGATATGGTGGGATTTATATGCCATGATAAGATTCAACAAAAAAATTTTTCGTGTGATTTTGTAGAATGCTTAAATACTAAAAATTTAATAAGCAACCTCTTTTTAGCTTATTTCTTGAAGAATAATTTAGACAAAGTGTAATAACTTCCACGGGATTGAAATATTTATGGGAAAATATTTTTATTGGTTTTAAGCATTTATGATTCAAAGTGATGTTTTAATTTCAGTTGTAAATATTCAATGCTATGAACTGAGAAGTCATTGAGATGAAAATTTTACAGCATCTATGATATTGTCATTAAAAAACACATGCTTCTATTTCCTAAGCTTACGTTGAAAACGGATTTTTTTTTTGAAAGCTTAACCCTAAGTTTAAATTATTCCATATAGTGAATGGTATTTTTGTTACAAAGTTTGAAAAGCTTTAAGTATTCATTAATGAGAAATACCTTTATAATAAAGATAAACTCAGCACCTTGACCATTTAGCATATGCATAAGTATGTGAGTTAGGTTGTCAAAATGAAACAGTATTCTTTTAACTAAATAATTACTGCCCTGGTTCTATTGATAATTTACAACTTATCGAATTGACATCAGTTGGAAAGCTACTGAAAATAGAAAAGTAATAAAACTTATCTTCTACTTTCAAAACATTACAACCTTTGGTGATCATTTTTGTCGACAAGACCAATCACTGTCGAATCTGCAAGGACTTTAGGCATACATACTACTGAGTGCAATCATTTGACTATGTATTAGTTTGATTTTTTTTTAGCCACGAGGTAACTTGTTGTTACGCATGAACGTAAACACGTCATTTTGATATGCTTGAACAATTACGAGTTTACCTAGTCGGGAAACGAGAGCGAGGATCGAGGATCCGGCGACAAGACATGCTACTCAATCCGATTATCCCAACCCCCATTGAATAAAAGAAGAAAGTTTGATATGAAGTAGAACCTGTATTCTACAAGCATCCAGAAAGTACGAGGTCCGAGTCCAGGAGAGAGAGTCAGGATCCTGGACTAGGGATCCGGGTCTGGGTCCTAGTCCTAGAATGTTACAGATAACGCGTATTTATACATTTAGGTTGAATAGGAAACATCATCGAAGTCTGTGACATTGGCAGTTAAGACGACCAATAAGAAACAGCATCTGAAGTGACATTGAAATTCAGGATGACCAATAAGAAACAACATTGCAGCACGTGACATTGATATCTAGGACGATCATAAAATTACACATTTTTGAAACCATGAATCGATCAATGCTAGACCATCATTAGAAACCTGAAAGCACTGGACCGCCGTTTCGTGCTGGTATGGGACTCATCAGCAGTGCGCATCCACGAATCCTGCATCCAGCAGGATACGAACCCGGGACCTTCGGCATTGTGCGCGAACGCCTAACCATCGCACCACTGAGCCGGTATTTAACGGTGTTAATGTCTAACTTGATCAATTCACGGAGTTGCGCAACCTCATACACAGTCTTCGGTAGACACTGCCTACACCCGAACAGGTTGAACTTCACTAGTCACGTCTTCCCACTTGAACTCGGAGAAGATTCCTCACGAAGCTAGTCACTAGTGAGCACAGGTAATTTGCATTACGGGGCCGTCCAGTGCTTCCAGGTTTCTAATGGTGGTCTAACATTGATCGATTCATGGTTTCAAAAATGTGTAACTTAACAATCTTCACAACCCCGTAATGCAGATCATAAAACTGACCAGTGGGAATTAACCAATAGGAATTGACCTATAATTCTCTTAGGATATTGGATGAATATCCTAACAGTTGAATTTGTCTATAAGATACTATTTTATTGTAGAAGATTAACATCAGTGTCTGACTTAAGATGAATAAAACTAACATATTTGTTAGTTACTTTATTTAAGCATGTTTCTCGCAATGTGTACTGTCATTATGAAATCTAATTTTTTTTGTTTAACATTGAACGTATGTGTATAAGTTAAACACAGAAAGAAAAAGAAAAGTGAATTATTATTAAAAAGAAACACAATCTAGAGAGTAGCTTTTTAAACACAGTTAATTAATGATAAAACATTAGAGCATTCCTTCTTTGTATTATTTATGATTTCTTAATATACATTTTCAAAAGAAATAGCAATTATATACTGAATGAAGCTAAGAAATACCATCATAATTAGTATTTATTAATTTTAATTTATTAAAAATGTTTGTGATTATTTTTCAGCATGTTTAAGTAGTGTTTATTTTGTTGTTCCAAAAATATTACAAAAAACTGATTAGCATTTTACAGTCAATAATTCTGTCTTCAACATGCCTAAGCGGATATAATCTTGACATCATATGAAAAGTAAATTTGCAGTATTTTATTAGGAAAAGTGAAATTGAGAAACTTTTCGTACACGGAATATGTTAAATTCTTCGTTGTGTTATTTGTACAGCGAAACACTTAAGACAAAAGTAAATATGAGTCTGAGGTGTTATAATGAAAGCGTTAAAGTATATGTGAATATTTGCTCACTGTTGAACAGTTTACTCAGGCCAACTTGAATTAACAAATTTATATTAAGAATTACATCTAGTCCCAAAAATTTCGCATCTGAAATAATTTAAAAGCTACATTAGGATTTCATGTACCATAAGTCTGTATGATGTAAAATCTTCCCTATTTCGATTAGCTTTGGCCACTACTAATAGGCCTATGAGGTATTACTAAAAGAAATAATCCCTAAGCTCTTTCATTTATCAAAACATTTTATTGTACGATGATATGTAAAGAAATCATCAAAAATAATCACTTAGTAATGTAGCAATGTCAATTATGTAATGTCATTGTTTAATAACTACTGTATAGTTAACTCCGTAGGTTAATCTACATGATAACTTAAATGAAAGTTGTAAACTGTGCATTACATTGATTCCTAATTCCATAATTCCTGGATGTCATTCTCTGAAAATCTTTTATGTAGTGTTCTGGATGCAGATTCATTTAAAGTATTTCAAAATAAGAGTTTAATTAGATTGATTAACTGAAGGATTCGTTTCATTTCTCAATGCGTTTTTTATAACTTGGAAGAGTTGCCAATCATCTGTGGAGAGAAACCTTAATTAAGTCACTGATTACAGTAAATTAGTCACAGGTTATTAACTGACTTAAAAAACTAACAGTTAAATAGATGATTAGTTAAACTTATTAGACATGGTGGAGAAAATTTGTATCTCATCTGGATGATTGTGATGGTGTTTAGTTCTCTGAGGTTGATGTTTTGGTTGTGGAGCTTTCATTGTTCTTCTGAACAACAGCATCAGCACAAACTTCAGATAGAAGTGAAGCATTCGGATTTCTCCACGTTTTACCTGTAGCTGAACAAGTAGCAGAACAAGCTATACAGGTCAAACGTGGAGAAATTTGAATGCTTCACTTCTATCTGAAGTTTGTGCTGATGCTGTTGTTCAGAAGAACAATGAAAGCTCCACAACCAAAACATCAACCTCAGAGAACCCAACATCACCACACTTATTAGACATTTCATTTTTCATTTTTGCCAGTAGAATGAAATAGTCAATGTTTGATTATAACGGCACATATAAATGTAGGTTTCTTAAGTTTTCGATATATATCTACTCTTAACTAATGGAATATTTAAACAATGATGCATAAGAAACTATTCGTTAATTAAAATGAATAAATACTAGTTTTTCACAACTTTTAGTGGGAAATATAATCTTTGTAGCAAATTATCAAACCATGGGAATTAATGTTAATTGAATTATAAATTTGAAAGGTTTAATTTCATCGCATGATTGTCTTGAATTCCACTGCTAACCATAGTTCATTCATTTTTAATATCATTTGATAGAACAGTGAGAAGACATAATTGATCTGAAAAATGTGATGTATTTGCGCTATACATTTCGAACAATCTGGTGACACATATTTATTTGTCAAGGCATTTTATGTGAAGATTAGTTAAAGGTCAAATAACTAAAAGTTCAAATAGACATAAGGCGATAATTGTAAAAAAAGGAGAGAGAAAATTACCGTAATATGAAAAGAATAAGAAAGGATAGGAAACTTGTCACATTACCCTAGGCTTAAACATTACCAAGGTAAATTCAAGGTTATGACAAATTGTTTATACAAACATAAGGGGGGGGAGTTTAATTTTCGAATAACCAAGGCCTCCACTACTACATCACATTTTTCAGATCAATTACGTCTTCTCACTGTTCTATTAAAATTTATAAAAGAGACTAATTGTTTTAATATCAGTTAGTTGATTTTTCTTCTGAGTGCTGAAATTCTATTCATCAAATTGCAACATTGTCATGTTTTCAAATGAATTGACAATGAGATAAACACTAAACGATACGATCACCATTTACAAATGAAAAAAAAATTACTACGTACAAAATGAATAACAATGATATTGGTACATCTGAAGAATTATCAGTTTTATATTCTTGGTTAACCATCACGCCTGCTTCACATGCACGCCGCTGCATTTTAAGCAGCACAAGAATTCTCACAAGAGCCAATATTGCGATCACCCCTGCCCCATAAGGGAACGTACATGTTGTTTAGATTGGTCTGCAGACAAAAGCACGCGCACGAGTAGTGGCCCCGGTTCGGGCACTTATGAATCAACAAGATCCCTCCAACCAATCCATTACCCATAATCCCCAATCGGCAAGGGCGGCAAGGCTGGCTTTCCCAGCTAGACCTGGTTCCTGGAACGGATTACCGAGCCACCCAGCAGCCATTCCAACCGTCTGGCCTTCAACTGCCTTGCGCTGATACAATCGACCGGAGCCCTCAGACCCCACATGAAGCTAAAGACCAAGTTTGTCGCACAGGGTCAGCCGGAACGCACAGCCTCCCATGGGGAGGTACATCTGAAAAAGTATCAACCTTAAAGATAACTAAGTCTTAACTACAATATCTACTGAATTGTAGAATAATCTATGAACATTATTAATCAAAGGTAAATTGAACACTGATTATATAAATAATTTTTAATTAAACAATAATACTTACCTTCCATAACTCTTACCAACAATACAATGCCAATTACGTCCCAATAACTTATCACACCGATCTTTAATATAAGCAGCAATATCTTTTTCAATATTGTAGTTTTTTACTCCTTGAATGCATATTTCAATGACAGTTTCTTTCTCTTCTTCAAGCATATCGTAATTTTTTACAAGAGGTATTAAACTAGCCATAATTCAGCAAAAATATACTTCCCTATCACAATCAATAAACACTAAATGAGTGCTGAAGACAAGGTGTAGTTGAAAGTACTAATGGTACCTTATAAATACAAATATATATATATCTATATAAATATGCGCATATCTGTTAATAATAATGTAGTAATCAAATTTCGTTTTAGTACCATGGCCTCAAGGTTTTTGGACATATGATTATGTTTGAAAGTGAAATAATGAAATTAAAGTATTAATTAAGAATGTATGGTATTTATCTACTCTTTTTCTTTTCTAAAAATAGGAAACCCAGTAAAATCAATTTGTGTAAACACTGATGACAACAACAACAACAACAACAACAGCAACAACGACTATTCTGATTATGATTATTCTTATTATAATCTTTATTCATTGAACTTTTCATTCTTTTAAATTTAGTCTAGTGAAAGACTAGATCAAGAAAAATAGTAAATGAAGAAAGTTTAAGCAGTACCATAGTAATGTTAATTATAAATTACATAGAAAAAAGGAGGAAATCTATAACAGCAAAATAAACCAAACCACAGAGAGAGAGAAAGAAAGAATTTTAGATCAGTTTCTCTTGTTATTTTGTTAGTACAATAGTAGAAGGAAGAGATATTTTTTTCTCTTTTTATATTATGTATATAAATCTATCTGTAGTACGTACACTAAATATAAAATGTACAAATGTTTTAAAACTTGGCAAAATAAGAGTAAGAATAATCAATCAGCTGATATTTTTCATCATTCATATTGTCTATGTTGATGATCATTCTAGCTAGCATTACATTTGTTTGTGGAATGTAGTCTTTTTGGAATTCTAATTTCAGTCGCTCAATATAACTCTGTTTGATGTAAAAAAAAAAGTTCAGTGTCCAATTTCTATTAAATTTGGTAGTAAGTAAACTAAGAAAAAGATTTGAATTGATCACCTAATTTATGATATATATGATCTAAATACAAAATTAGATCAATTTTAATTCTTGGTGAATAGTATAATTTGGTCCGCATAAGTAACATAGGGAAATTCTGTGAATTATAGATACCGTTAATACAATTATAAAATAATTACTTAAACAAGACTAGACAAACAGCACATTGATACCAGTCCAAACAACTCATAACGATAAAAGTATCAATAGTTGTTGGGGAAGTTATATCCCCAGAACTCACTTGGAAAAGATCCAAATTTTGGAATTTTTTATGTTTTCGCGTATAAGCTGCTTAGCTGACCTTGAGATTACATTTCCCATTCGGAAAATCCTTGACTGTCATTGGCTGATGGATTATTTTAGTACGCCAGTTTTGTGGCCCTACCAAGGACGTTTCTATCATGTTTAAATAAACTCGATTTGTGTGCTTGTCAACCTTATATTTCTGGGTGCTTGTAGAATACACTTTATACGCCTTATCAAGACTTCTTGATACAGTTAGCTGGGCAGCGGACAATTGGATTAGAATGGCCTATCGTGTCTTGTCTTCGCTCCGTTTACCGAGTAAGGTGAACTCGTAATAGTTCAAGCATATCAGTTGACGAGCATATCAGTAGTTCAATGAATCGCAAATGATTCTTGACTATTTTAATCTCATTCACTAATATGTGTAAACTGTCATAGCTGTTCAATATTGGGAAACCATGAACAGTATCAACAAAATCTATTATTTATTTGATGAATGAACACTAGAGAATGCATAGAGAATTTATGACAACTGTTGAATTTTGTAGTCGACAAAACATACTGATCTTGGTGAAGCAACCATTTAAAAAACCAGGAGGCACTACTCAGTTATTTTATTAAGGTATGGGCCTCCTTAGTAAAATTCATTCAAAACTCCATCAAGAATCAAATCTGAACCTTCAGGTCTTACTGACTTGATGATGTAAACAAGTGCCTATTTTGAATAACTACTTGTTGCAACCTTGACAGTTAAGAAGTACAATTTCTGATTTAAGTTAATTCAGTTTAAGTTTCGGTTTGCCGTAAAAAATATTGAAATCAAATATTAAAGAACTTTGTTTATCAATCGAATTTAGCATTGTCAAACATTTAAATATGTTAACATTTGAAAAAAAACAACTAAAACAACTTTACTTTCATTTAAGTTGTTTTAAATAGTTTATCAACAATTTTTAAGTTTTGTAATTTGGGCATGAAAGAATTTTTGTTACCTGCTAATTTTGTGAAAAACTTTGAAAATTTCATTCATTTTTAATTTTCACTTTTTTTGTTGCTTATCTTTGACAATAATGTGAGTAGAGTTAGTCATGGAGATAACAGGGTGTAGGAAGGATTTGATTGTGATCAATTTGGTCTCGTGAGCGGATGTTACTTTCCGGCTGCCCACACCGCGGAAGGGCGTTTCTTGAAGAACCTGAAAGGAAAGTCGATTAGTGTTGGTCTTGACGACCTGAGAGCGTGACCGCAGAGCCCAACGGACAACTGCTTCAGGCCGGTCACGCACAGCTTTTTTATGAAAGGTTGTTTGAGTATTAGCTCCACTCTTAAGAGCCCCTAGTGGGCAGCCCTTATCGCCGGATACGGAAATCCGTGAGGTAAGGTGAAGTGTGACATTTTTAGGGCCGACCTTTTCTAACCCTTCCTTCCTTGTGAGAAGGCAGCATCGCTGCAGATGCTGGTTGTCCGAGGGAAACACCTTACTGCTGTCACACCCCTCTGCAGTCAGCAGTACGACTTCGCCCTCAGACCTTGGGTAGCTGCTTTTAGTCTCATCGTTCTCCAATCGACGTGCCTGGCATGGTAGAACCTTCAGGAACATATGTTCTAGCCAATATAGCTCGGTTGGGTCATCACGATAGACAAGCCCGACCACGATTGTCAATCTTGAACGACATGGCTCGAAATCGTTTGCATTGGCGCAGGTGCATCCACTTTTTGTGTTTTCTCAGATTCTAACCTTCTGAATTCCTCATCACCTCTATCTTTCTCTTTCTAACTTTATCTCACTGAATTATACCCTGATCTTCTGCATTATTGCTAATACTTCTACTATCGCTACCATTATTGGATTTGAACTGACAGTTGCGTCTGTGTGATAATGCGGTATGGCAACCTGAAATGATCTACATACGTACAAAGTTCTATGTTGTATCTATCTGTCTCTCTGACAATAATGACCATGATAATAATAATAATAATAATAATAATAACAGTATTAATAATAGTATCAATAATGTTTGTATTTATTTTATCATTAACAATGTTATTTTATCAAAATCTCTTTATCAATCTCAACAGATTTTTTTGAACATTCGTTTAAGCATTTTACATTATTACAATATATTTGATAGAATTCGACCATTACTAAAGGCTAGACTAATATGAACATAACCACTACTCAATATTCAATCAATGTAAATATTTATCATCAATAGCAGATATCTATGTACATATGTATATTCCTTAGTACAAAATAATTAATTAACTTCTTGTCTCATTGAATTGTATGTTTCTATCAACATCTTTGCATTTTATGTCTTTAGTTTGTGTTTCTGATATTAAATTATGTAAGAAATTCTCAATATTTCTTATCCAGTTTTCTTCGGGGTGGAGTGGACAAATAAACCACTGTACAATAACTTAGTCAAGTTTTCTCATGACTACGTACCTAATTCTAGTTCGGTTTCGTATTTTCATATTCATCAATAATCGTTTCTTCAGTACCATAAATATGAATTGCCTTTCTCTGAATTTGATACCTATTTAGTTGATCAAGTTGTTAGTATTATGAATATCAATGTCAGCAATATTACTTACATCATATCGAGAATCGATTGAATTTTCAGAAATCTAAGCTGTCAAATTATAATTCAGTTGTTCAACACCATCGTGTCTGATACGAGATTTAGATTTCAGTTTATTTGATATAAAGAGTAGATTGAGACCAAACAGATGTTGAACAGTTTACGGTCGTCTATCGTTCACAGTTGATATCGATTTATTATGTTAATTATCTTTATCAGTACACCTATTTTTCTTTTTTCCAAATAACCTCGTAATTTCCATCTTAATAATCATTCAGTGTATTGTGACTAGATGCATGGTAGCTGAGTCCAGTGGGTTGAGTATAATCATCAAGTAATTAGTCGCGTTGGTAGTCCCACACTACAGAAATATTCATAAACTTGCAGGCCAGTCAAAAGCTTCAGATATTACTGCTCATAGTGGTTTAACCACACATCCTCATTTGTCGCAGTCGGTAAGTTATCGACCATTATTTGAGATTTAGCTCACAGTTTCCATGACCTTTCTACCAAGTTCCAGGGCCAAAACGAACGAGTGCTATGAATCCGTTAATACGCATTACTTTGTAAATTATGATGTGCTTGAATTGAAGGAGATAGTTAGTAGGTTTTCTGTGTTTCCATTTGGCGCCTGCATAATATGTCAAAGTGTATATTATATTATCTTGTGCCATATCTCACTTCCTACTAGCTTAAAAAGACCCTATTTTGTGGTATTTTATAACCACGAATGGTCAGTATATTCTCTTAGTTCCGTATTTAACGAACGATTCTGTTATGCTTCAGGTTAGCTAGTTTACAGATGTTAGTCCACTCCATTTACTTAAAATTTTTCTCGAGAGCGAGGTGATATGTTGAGAGTAAGCTTCCTAAATTCTGATCGACCGGGTACAACAGTAGCTTCCACAAAAAGAATACACAATTTGGTAGTTAGCCATCATCCACAACTCTGGAACTGCTAGTATGACTGGCGTTGGTAACTAAGGACATATCCACTCATGCATCATCTACTAGTTAAGATCCTTCTGTTGTGCCGAAATAGTATCTATACAGCTCCCCCCAATACATTACATAAATAAGCTCTTCTAGGCGTTCAAGCTCATAAATTTTCATCTGCAATCGGTTTAACGGACTTGAAATGGATAAGAATACTGAGGAGTGAGTGAGCTTATGTTTATAGGTCAACGCTACTCTGATGATTAGATGTAGGTTTGTTTATGCCACTTTCATC